AAGTAGAAGAGGAAGAGAGAAGCAGGAATGTGAAGGGAGAGGGGCAAGGGATATAAAGAGAGTGGCAAGGTGCATGGAGGGAGACGATGGGAAGGGTGTGTGGGGGGGAAGGGGGGGGGGGGGCGTGAAGGGAGAAGGAAGAATGTGGAGGGAATGTGGAGACAAATAGAGGTATGTATGAGACTGTTATCCTATTGCAATAAAGTTATTGGTGGTGGTTTTCCTTACTACTTTTATCACTAATGAAGATACCAATAACAGGAATAATGATAAATAGAAAAAAAATGAATAATAGCATTAGTAGACGTTATGACAATGACAAAAATCATAATAATAATATCAATACCACTACTCATCAAGATTACGATAACATAAATGATCAACAATGGAAATAAACTCATCCAAGAGATATTACAATAAATATTACATCTTTAATTACTATCTCAGGCCAATACGTAATAGGAAAAACGAGATAATAATAACATCATTTACCATTTCGCAGACTTCTCGACCACGCAAACGAAGTCGACGAAATGGCGTATTCTGGCGAGCAACTTCTCTCAAAATATTTTGCTTTGGCTTGGTTGCCGCCGTCCAGAAAAATGGTCTTTATTTATTTATTTATTTATTTATTTTTTTATTTATTTATTTTTTTTCCAAGAAGTGTGAATTATTTATGACAACTTTTGAGGCGAAAAAGTATCTTGTATCGAGATGTCTGTATTATGTTAATCTTATGTATTTATGTATGCATCTATGTCTATTTCTATATCCGTCTATCTACAATCCATCCATCTATATAAACGTGTGTCTGTGTGTGTCTATGCATGTATGTGTATATGTATGTAGGTATATATGTATATACGTATGGGTGGAATAAAAAAAGAAATGAAAAGAAACACATATAAATATAAAGAAAAAGAAAGAAGAAACACAAGGGGAAAAAAGGACATAAAAATGGGGAGATAAAGGAAAAGAGGATAAAACAGAAAACGAAGAAAAACAAAAAGAAAAGAGAAAAACAGGAAAAGAGGGAAAAAAACACGATGAAATAAGAAAAGAAAAAACAGAGGAAGGGCGAGAAGAGAAAGAGGAAGAAGAAAATAATGATAAAAAATAACAAAGGAAAGGTAAAAAAAAATAGAGAAGAAAAAATGAACAGAAGGAAACGAGGAAGAAGAAAAATAAAGAAAATTAAGGACAAGAGAAAGAGGAGACAAAAAAAGAAATGAGAAAGGAGCACAACGATATAAGGAAAGAAAAAGGGGGGAAACCAAAGAAAGGGAAAATAAAAAAAAGAAAGAAGAAAGGAAAAAAATGAAGAATAAAGAAAAAAGAGGAGCAAACAACAAGGAAAAAACACACACACACACATGCATCTTGAATATTTATGTATGCACACTCCCCACATGTTCTACAAAAGGGTTAGATTATAATGTCAAGGACGGAGTGGCAGGAGTGTCAATGAGGATGGATTAATCAGTCCGACTACAGGACGTTCCATGCACACATTCAGTCATGCACAGTCCCACGCACTCATCTGCTCTCATAAGACACAAGCACGCCCATTGGATAATAAATCTGCTGTGGGATTGATATAGAATTCCCTGGATATACGAAAGCGAGGATATATTTATTTGTACAGATGGAGATAGGTGTTTAGAAAGGTTTTCAAGCACAGAGAGCGGTGCATGCATGACCCCGTTCGTTGAGATCAAACACCCACACATGATAATGCACATGTTTGTAAGTAGGAATGCACGCAAGCAAAGGCTAACAGTCACATGTATAAACATATGTGATGAATCGGCTTATATGCAAGCAAACTTATACACATACAAGCAAAGTACACATGTACATGCCATACCCGCTACCTATTACACAAATAAACACAAAATCTACAATTGCAATTAATCTAACTGCATTGTGATACACAAGAATAAGATTAAGAAGAAGAAGAAGAAAAAATGAGAAGGGGAAGGAGAAATGGAAGTAGAAGGAAAAGAAGCAAAAAGAGAAAAAAAAGCATAAGAATAAAAAGAATGAAAAGGAGAAGAAGAAAAAAAAATAAAAGAAAAAGAAAAAGGAGAAAGAAAGAAAAAAATAAAAAAAACAAGAAAAAAACGAAGAAAAGAAAGAGAAATAGAATAAGCAGAAGCGAAAAAAAAAAAAAGAAAAGAAAAAAATCCCATCTCCACCGTCGCCCCCAACAAACTCCCCCAACAAACTTCCCCAAAAAACTCCCCAGCAAACTCCCCCAGCAGACTCCCCAAAAAAACTCCCCAGCACACTCCCCAACAAACTCCCCCAGCAGACTCCCCAAAAAAACTCCCCAGCAGACTCCCCCAGCAGACTCCCCAAAAAAACTCCCCAGCAGACTCCCCCAACAAACTCCCCAGCAGACTCCCCCAAAAAAACTCCCCAGCAGACTCCCCCAACAAACTCCCCAGCAGACTCCCCAAAAAAAACTCCCCAGCAAACTCCCCAGCAGCAGCAGTAG